CCACACACACACACACCCACACCCCCACACACACCCCCCCTTCCCCCCGCGTACAGTTCCAGGGGGCTCTCAACAATGACTCCAGCCTATGCTCCTTCAATACTGCTTTGATGGGTGTTTATTTAAGGGTGTCCTTGACATGCACGGCTCAGTGGCCAACAGTGAGGAACTGGGCTACCAGTGCGCCAGCCTTGGGGTTGGGGGTTTGACATTTAAATGATTCCCCCCAAAACAAAAGCTGGGAGCCAACAATTTGCCCTCTAGCCCTGTTGCTCCCACAACACAGCTTTTGGAGTGCAGATGGGGGGGTCTGTCCTTTTCATGGCACACCAACATGGCCAGCCCTGCATGGGACAGGATTTTTTGGAAGGCGGCTGGAGGATGGGAGTACCTAGGGTAGCCATGTGTAAAAGGGCAGAGAATTTAGAAGCCCCAAAGCACTTTTTTCATAGATTGTTTTCTAAGTGATTTAGGTTGAATCTGCCCTTTGTGTGATCATCTATTTGTTAATTGTCAGGAAAAATTAAGAAGACATGCCTTTGAACTTCTAGAAGAGGAGACCATCAAAAATAGTAATCTCCGTGTAAAATTCCAGAATATTCCAGAAATACTTATCAAGGAGATGGAAGGTAGTGTTAAGTTAAACAACTCTGAGAATATAAGATGGAAGAGAAAATGTGTCACAGGATCTAAACTGCTGAAATAACAGACAGTTAGGGTTGCCAGCATACCATTTTCAGTCAGAATGCCCGGTCAAAAAGGACCCAGTGGCAGTGGTCAGCGCAGCTAACCACGCTGCTCAAAGTATGGTTGACTCCAGTGCCAGCATGGCAGACAGACAGCTCCGTGCACAGCTCCATGCAGTTCCCAGGAAGTAGTGGCATGTCCCTGTGACTCTTAGACGGAGAGGTGGCCGGGGGATTCTGTATGCTCTTACCACCTGCATGTGCCACTCTGAGCACCAGCTCCACAGCTCCCATTGTCCAAAAACCTGCCACTGCTTACCGGGAGCTGTCTGAAGTCAGCACCTCTCAGAGACCACACCCGAAGTTACCTCCCGTCCCCCAGTCTCCTGCCCCAGCTTGGAACCCCCTCCCACACACAAAATCCCTCCAAGAGCCTGCATCCCAAATTCCTTCCCACACCCAATCCCTAGCCCTGAACCTCCTCCTGCATTCTGAACCCCTTGACCCCAACCTGGCGCCCCCTCCTGTACCCAAACCCCTCCTCCCCAGTCCCACTCCAGAGCCTGCACTGTCATCCAGAGCTTTCCCCCCCCTCCCCCGCTTAGCCCCACTTTAGAGCCTCCTCCTGCTCCCTGAACCTCATTACTGGCCCCATACTGGAATCGAAAGCCCATACCCCCTCCCACAGCCCAACACCTGTCCAAAGCCAAATCCCCTCCCACACATTGAACGCCTCAGCCCCATCCCCCGGCCTAGATCCCTCTCTTGCACTCTAAACCTGTCATCCCCAGCGCCCCTCCCAGGAGCCCCAGCTCCCCAACCCCAAGTCTCAATTTGGTGAAAATGAACATGTGAGCAAGGATGAGTAGAGCGAGCAACAAAGAGAGGGAGATAGAATGAGTGGGGGTGGGGATGGGGCATCAGGGAAGATGCAGGGCAAGGGTGGCAAACTTTTTGGCCTGAGGGCTACATCTCGGTACTTTATGGACCGGCTGGGTGTGGCCCAAAGGCCATAGTTTGCCCAGCCCTGACATAGGACCTCAGGGAAGGAGTAGGACAAGGATGTTGTTTTCTGTAATTAGAAAGTTGGTAGCCCTATATACAATATTATGGGGATTTGTTCAGTGTAGTTTTAAATGTATTCCTAGAGTAGGAGAATCACAGCTGGGTACCTAGAGTTGACAGTTCCTACAGTACTGAATTGAAGATAAGAGAAAATAAGCCACATAAAGGTTGTTTTGCCTTTTTTTCCCCCAATGACTACACATATTATTTTTCTAGCTCTGGTTGTTGCGGCTCATGAATCGAGTGCTGCTCAGATAAATCAATTGCAGACAGCACTGAAAAACATCGCATGTGAAATCGAATCACTGAATCAGAAGCAAATCCTTTGTGAAACCCAGAATGCTGCTCGGTGGTATGTTTTTGCCTCGGGAAATCATATTGATAGAGGATTAAGGAGAAACGAAATGAAATCAAAGCCAAGGGAACAGTGCTTGCCCCTTGCTTCTGCAGCAAGCTGCAAACCTTCCTAGACAGCTTCCTGCTGCAGTAGCTGCCCTGGTTTTGAAGATCATCTTTCTTGAGCAGCTGTTGATGTCTGATGTAATGATAGACTGGCTTACAGGAAAGTGACTGCAGATCAGGCTTTGATGACAGACAGAGCCTGCAACAATGAATGTCAAAGGACCATCAGCTTCAGGGGGTAGCTGAGTTAGTCTGTTACAGAAAAAACCAACAAATGGTCTGGTAGCACTTTATAGACTAACAAAACATGTAGATGGTATCATGAGCTTTTGTGGGCACAACTCACTTCTTCAGATGACTGGAGTTATGAGTTAGGATGTGCAGACCCAAAATAAATAGCAGGGAAGAGGAGAGATGAGGCAAAAAAAGGAGGGAGTAGGAGACAGGAAGCTAGAGGGAATCAGTAAGTATCTGAAGATTGGGTAGTTAAAACGAAGCAAATACGAATCAAAGTCTATTGAATGTATCCTTCCTGACATAGGAGTCTACGCAAAGAGCTGTTTGCACCTTCAACGGCTGCTAATTTGGTAGTGCCCCAACTAACTTTCATCACTATTGAGTCCATTAGTATGTAAATTGAATTTGCAGATGAACTCTAATTCCAAGGTTTCTCTGTGTATCTGGCTAGTAGAACAGGTTTGTGACAAGACAGGTACTTGAAGATCTTTTAAACAGTGATTAGGAAGATTGAAGTGTTCCCCAATAGGTTTCTGTATGTTTCCCTTACATATATCTGATTTGTGTCCATTGATTCTTTCGTGCAGAGACTGTCCAGTTTGTCCAATATATATAGCAGTGAGGCATTGCGGGCATCTGATGGCATAGATCAAATTACTGGATGTGCAGTCAAATGATCTTTTGATTTGGTAGCTTATGTTGTTGGCTCCAGTGATGAATTCACTAGTACAGACATGTGGGCAAAGTTGGCATCGTTTTTGGTTGCAGGGCTGAGTTCCTGGATGCTTATGATAGATAGTTTTAAGTTTGCAGCCCCTGATCAACTATGGAAGAGAGCACTGAGTTTATATCAACATAACCTCCTGGTATAGACTTGGGATGTTAAATAATGATTAATTGAATAGTCGATTAACCTCATGAATTCTTTTCGGTTAGTCGACTATTCTATAGTCTCCAGGGGTGGTGCTGACAGCCAGTGTGCTCCCGCCCCACTCCTGAGGAGCCCCCTGCCACTCCACACTGCTACCTCTTTATCAAAGGCAGCAGCACGAGGTGCCAGGTGGGAGCTGGTCTGCAAGGGGAGACAGTTTAAAAACCAGGACCAGCTGCCTGTCATCCTGCGTGGCTGCCTCTAATACAGAGGCAGCAGTGCCAGGTGGCAACAGCCCCTGTCCGGGGAGGGGCAGGGCCTGAGCTCCTGGACCCAGCACAAGCTGGAACTAAGCCAGGCTGCCTTCTCGCCTGGCTCATAATACACTTTAAATGCAGAGCCACAGTGGGGGATAGATCCCAGACCCAGCGCGAGCCAGGACTGAGCTGGGCTACTGGCCAGCCCACTAAAAAAATTATTGGCAGGGAGCAGGGGAATATGTGTAGTCTATGGGATTAACCTATAAGCTTTTGCTTACCGGTTAATCAGTTAATCAACTACACTATTACATCCCTAGTATAGACACAGCATACATTGACAGAAGGAGGAGTTCTGCCAGTATGAGAACACCACTTCTACTAATGGCATTAGTGCTGCCAGCAGATACCCTTGTCTGCCAGCACAGCTGCATCTACACTAGGGATTTTGTCAACAGCTATGCTGACTAGGGGATATGGATTTTTCACTCCCTGAACGACACAACTATATTGGTATAAACTTTCACTGTAGACCAGGCCAGAATCTCTGTAAGTATCCCCTCATAGAGATTCTTCTTCCACATCGTCCCACTGGGAGGTGGGGGCATTTGCTTTGTCCTTGCCAAATGTCATGTTCCTGTCACTTTCTGCCAAGGAACCAAAGTTCAAAGAGATGACAACATGTTTTCTTACAGTAAGAAAGCTATTTTTTTTTAAATTTCCTCTGTTTGAAAATAATTCATCCATTTTTTAAATTAAACTTTCAGAAAATATTTGTACCTGAAGAAATAATACTTTGAGAATGTTATAAGCAACTGAAAGTGAATCCTTAAAATGGGCAGGCTTAGGTCGTCTTAATTACAGGCAATTCTTCATGCACTACTGTGCCTATATTATATATGGTGTCATTAATGTGTATTATATAAGTGTCATTAACGTGTGCTTTACTGAAAGGTAGAAAATAAAGATTCAGGTCTAGAGCTATAGTGTCATGATTATACTGATTTCAGCAGGCTTTGGACCAGGACTTTAATCCTTATTGCACTTTAATCCTGGTATACACCAGTGTTTCCTGACTTGGGTGGCCACCCAGGGGAGATTCAAATGTTGCCCAGCTGATTAGCAGAGCACCCAGAGCAGCCCAAAGCTGGAGCATGTGTTTCTCATGGTGGTGCACATTCACATATGCTTTGGTGCACATAACAAAATTTATTCTGTGCATAGATGAAAAAATTAGAGGGAACATTGGGGTACAGTAGTCTCTGCTTTGTTTTCACCAGTACGGAGCAAAAGCGGTTGTGGGTCAAGCATGAAGAAGCTGTAGACTTACTGAACCAGCAGATGGCACAGAAAGCTAACACAAATATACTTTTAAATGAGTTTTGCAACAAAAGAAGGGATGCAGAACAACAAATAATCAGTGTAAAGAAAGCAGTGCAAGAAATGAAAGATGTTCAAGCTAAAGACAGAAAAACATTTGATGCTGAAAAAAAAATTTGGGCTAGAAAGGTAAATATTACAAGCAGGACTTACTCTGTACTCATAAAAGTATACAGGTTAATGCAGCTCCAAAATTGCAATAGTTTTAGGAAATATACTGCAATTTTGATGTTTGTTCGTGCCAAACAAAATGGGATCCTGGTCTGTGCATGGATCTCCTGACTACAATGATTAAACAAATAATATCATAATATTTATGTTAAACATTTTACACAGTTTGCTATCATAGAGTCAAATTATGCTTCATACCAATGAAACAGAAAAGTGACTTCCTAATGAGCTTTTTATATTGGAGTGGGGAGATCCAGTCCATGGGTGTGTGTTGGTGTATATCAAGATCTTATATTCTCTTAAATTGCGTATTGAATTCTGAAATCTCTTTATTGTATTGCTTTTATATTTTTCTTACTTATTTGATTTCTGTTTTGAAAAATGCCATAAAAACACCCCTTAAAAGATGTTATTTTCTTTTAGTTTGACAAAAATATTTTTCTGTAGAACAAATGATAGCCCAATACCACCAAGACCTAATCACATACCTAATGTTATGCACTGTTTGTAGTCCCATGTAAATCAGTGGTGCTGTTTTTAGCATGTAACACTAAGCATGGGCGTAAGTCTTTGCTAGGTCAGAACCTAAATTAATACTGCATTTTAATGAATTGTTATTAATGTAATTTTCCTGTAGAGTTTGGGTATTCAAAATAGAGGGAATCCCTGTAGAAAGTTCTTTTTTTAGTATTTTCCCATTAGTGTAACACTTTTTAGTGAAAAGCTCAAAAGGTTGCTCTATTTACAAATATAGAGACTTTCTTCTTTAATTAAGCAATACATAGTAGCTCATTATACTAGTATTTTTAAATGTAGAATGCAGACATGAAAACAAAACTTGATCTTCAGAAGGCAAACACTTCAGGGAAAAAGGATGAATTTGAAAAATTATCCACAAAGCTATCAGATATCCAACGTGAGATAGCACAAAATAGAGCGGTAAGGAGAAAACAATTAGCTTCTCTTAATAGAGTTCTTATTGCAATGCAAATTTTTACTGTGAAGAGCCGCGCCTTTTAATTAAATAGCTGGACAAACTGGAGGGAGTTGAGAGGGCTGGAGGGATCAACTTCTGTGACGAAAGAATAAACAAGCTAAGTACTTGGCTACATGAAGAAATTATCAAGCATTACTGGCCCGTAATTATTCCATAATAAAGTCGCTTTTGTTCTGGAATAGTGGGCCCACATGGGGGAATTATACCAGTGTTGCGGTAGCTTTGGTAGTCAGTTTCTCTATGCAGACGTACTTTATATACATGCAATAGCTCAGCTAGATGAGGACACAGGCCTCAGTTCTATAAATGGCTCCAGATGATTGCCCAGCCAGAGCCACTTCCAGGATCAAAGTTAAAGAGAAGCTATGACCATTTGGAAATACTTGATGGCTAAAACAATTACTCAGTGTGGTCCAGGGTGGCGTATCTAGTAGCAGAATGAATAAAGAGAAAGGAGAACTCTTAATCTGATTATCAGCAAAGATATCCTGGCATATTAGAATATGGAATAATTAACCAAAGGAAGTGATAGAAGCCCCATTTGCATAGGACACTCAGAAGTAAGCTGGACAAACTAATGCAGCTTCTATTGATGCACAAGTAAAAACAATATAGAGCAGGGCTACTCAACATGTGACCTGTGGGCCACATGTGGCCCACCGCCCATTTATTTGCAGCCCGCAGTGCAGTTTGGATTTACTTGGGGCTCAACATATGGCCCACGAGTGGGATCCTTTGAACATGGCCTCCACTGGGAACATGCTCCACAATGGCGAGGCATGTCCCATGTGGGGTGAGCATTGAAAGATGCAAGTGGATGGGCTGGCTGGAACAGATGGGTACAGAGTGTTGGTGTTTCTAGTCCCCAGGGAGGAGATGCTGGAAATGCCAGGGCATTGTGTGAAAATCTTTTTGCATATATTTGCATATATATTTCCATTCATATTCAATCACACTTAAGTTGCAGCCCTCGGCATGTGCTGTGAGTATCGATGTGGCCCCCAGGTCTTCCAAAGTTGAGTAGCCCTGATGTAGAGCATCTCAAGATCTGGGAAGTCAGAACTAATAGGGTGAGAGAGAGAATTGTCAGGGCCCTACCAGTTATCTTAGAATTATAGAATACTAGGACTGGAAGGGACCTTGAGAGGTCATCGAGTCCAGTCCCCTGTCCCCATGGCAGGACCAAATACTGTCTAGACCATCCCTGATAGACATTTATCTAACCTACTCTTAAATATCTCCAGAGATGGGGATTCCACAACCTCCCTGGGCAGTTTATTCCAGTGTTTGACTACCCTGATAGTTAGGAACTATTTCCTAATGTCCAACCTAAAGCTCCCTTGCTGCAGCTAAGCCCATTGTTTCTTGTTCTATCCTCAGAGGCCAAGATGAACAAGTTTTCTCCCTCCTCCTTATGACACCCTTTTAGATACCTGAAAACTGCTATCATGTCCCCCCTCAATCTTCTCTTTTCTAAAGTAAACAAACCCAATTCTCTCAGCCTTCCTTCATAGGTCATGTTCTCTAAACTTTTAATCATTCTTGTTGCTCTTCCCTGGACCCTCTCCAATTTCTCCACATCCTTCTTGAAATGTGGTGCCCAGAACTGAACACAATACTCCAGCTGAGGCCTAACCAGCGCAGAGTAGAGCGGAAGAATGACTTCTCGTATCTTGCTCACAACACACCTGTTAATGCATCCCAGAATCATGTTTGCTTTATTGCAACAGCATCACACTGCTGACTCATAGTCAGCTTGTGGTCCACTGTAACCCCTAGATCCCTTTCTGCCATACTCTTTCCTAGACAGTCGCTTCCCATTCTGTATGTGTGAGACTGATTGTTCCTTCCTAAGTGGAGCACTTTGCATTTGTCTTTATTAAACTTCATCCTGTTTACCTCATCTTTGTCCCTTACGTACAATTTCATGGTCATAGGATTTGAAAATTGTCAACTGTCACATTTTCAGAGGTTTAAATCTGAAAAATCATGGTGGTGTAACTGTGAGGGTCCAGATTGTGGAGGGAGAGGTCACAAACCTCTTGTAGGGGGGTCATGGGATTATGACCCTCATTTCTTTGCTGCCTTCAGAACTGGACTCTGAAGGCAGCAACCACAGAGCTTCCTGCAGCCACAGGAGGTTCCCAGAGCTTGAGATAGGTCTGATTCTCCCTTCCCCCCACAAGCAGCTGGGCAGGGAATGGACAAGCCCTGTCCCTCCCCAGCCCAGCCAGAACTAGAAGCCCCATTTGTTGCGGGCACTCCCAGCCACGCAGGATGTCTTGTAGCAGGGTTAGGCGCCTGGAGGTGGGTCTGGTCTCCCTCCTCTTCCCAGCAGCTGTGCAGAGGATGGACAAGTCCTGTTCCTCCCCAGCTTACCTGCTAAGACCATGACCCCCCTACAACCGTTTGCTGGAGCATCCTTAGGGAAAAGGGAACATCATATTTTAGGCTGTGAAATGAGGAGGCCTTAGTCGTCATGATGTCTATGCCTTCCACACAATACTGGCTACCATTTTTACCTCATGTAATCCAATGACAATTTCCCCTTGTTTTTTCAAATTAATAGCTTCTCTGAAATGTTGGGAGAGATCAGTCTCTTCATCTGTCCTATTAGCCTATGTTTTCACTGCAGAGCTAACTTGAGTTATCTGTGCTTTAATTAATTCCTCTGGAGTTAGGCCTGTCTGAAACTTAAAATTTAGGTCAATGTACAGCCCTCAGTGATGTGAAAAATCTACAGCCCTAAATGCTGTAGCTGTGTCAACCTATCTCACAGTGTAGTTGCAGCTGGGAAAGCTTCTGTCAGGCCTGATCTGTGCTGTGTAGTTAAGTCAATGTAAGCTGCTTTGCATCGACTTAGCTGTGGAAGTGTCTTCACTTGAATTTGGCTCCTGCCAACATTAGTGTCTCTCTATGCCACTTTACTAACACCATCTCCACCCTCAGCAGCACAGACCTATGGTCAATGCCAGGGCCATTCCACAACATTTTGGCACCTGAGGCAGGGAGCTCAAATGACACCCCCACGGCCCCTCATTGCACCAGCAGCAGACACGATTTTCTACACTCTGGGTCCTTGTGGCGCTTCCCCGCCCCCCCCCCACACGCACACACAGTCTGGCACCTGAGGCGGCCGCCTCAGTTCGCTTCATGGTAAGGTCAGCCCTGGTCAATGCAATTAGATCAACACAGTATCAGTGTAGACACTGGGTTTCTTATGTGAACCACCTCTTGCTTTCAGGAGCCATCCCATGATGCCCCACAGTGGCAGTGCAATTCATATAAGTGCTCCTGAGAGGACTGTGCACTGTCGACCCATGGCAGCAAGTGTGCCCACACATATAAGTGATTTAATAACAGCAGTGGCAGTATGGTGATGTAAATTAGGTTCACATTATTTTGTAGCATAGACATGGACTTGGCTACTGTCACTTGAGGAGGTGATGTTTCTACAATGACAGAAAAACTCCTTCCAATGCTGTAGGCTGCAGATATCCTCTAGGGTGGTGCTGGCATGGCGATGGTACCGCCGCTATGCCGCCACAGTCCCCATAGAATATATATGGTGAAATAACACATGAGCAGCACAAATCAATTGGATTGGCAGCTGCTGAGTTGGCCCATACCTCCTGATGGGTCTGCCAACATGAGTCAAAAGCACTACTGCACTTTGTGCCTGGACAGGAGTTGAATTAGGGGCAAAGCTCAAATTAAAATTCAGGTTAACTACAGGAAAGACAAGTTAAAGGAGAGAATGTGTAGCTCAAAAATCTTTAAATCTCTTCTGGCTACTGCTGTGACTCGGTTTATTAAAATTGTTAGTGATCAAATAGAGTAAATATAGGAAAACACTGGCTTGACTAGTACTTTAAATATCATTTTTGCATATTGTCTAATGGTTTTGCTGTGACATTTCAGAATAAATATTAAACAGTTACACTAAAATCAAATGCAAAAATTACAGTCTTTAAAAAAGAAAAGTAGCAGTAAATTAACTATGTGAATACTGTTTAATTTTATTTTTAATAGACTATTTTTAATGAGAAGGTTCAGATAGCGCAGCTAAAAGAAACAAGCGAAAACCTGCTAGTAGAATTAGAACTTAAAATGGCGGAAAAGCTGAAACTCGATGAAAGGAAGTAAGTGATTAGATTCTTTGTTCTTTTTGCTAAATATGTATCAGCACTTAATGTTTCTATAATCTTTAAGGAGTTAACAACAATGTTGATTTGCAGTCAGCCAGATTCAATACAATATTTGAATTATTAAATAATATAGAATAAATCTCTTCAAATCGTCTATTGTATCTATTAATGTAGCTTAAGCCAGTGCTATTTCTGGGAATCAAGCTACCTCTTTTTCTAAGGATTTTGCAAGTCACATGTCGGTCTTTCTCTTTGTGTGATTGTTTATGCATACACAGAATGGCTGACTTAACTCAAAATAGCAGTATCTTAGGGCCCAGTTCAGTACTCTGGAAGTCAGTGTGATTCTTTCCATTAACTTCAGTAGGGACACACATAAAAAGTAACTCAGATGATATGTTGGTGAATTTGAGGTAGTTGCTGTGAAATAAATATTCATACAGTG